TATATATAACTAGTACATACAAATAAATAACACAGCACAAACAATATTTTTTCCCCGATAAATCATATACTATAAAGTTGTTATCAAGATAACATACTAGTATTTCAAATTTAATGTTCAACTCATACTCAAAACTTCCTCTTCAAAGTTTGTTTTATGCCGTTTTTTGTGACAATTAAGTAATTCGTAATTACATGGGAATATATGTAGCTATCGATTGATATTAACGAGTCGAAAAATATTTACACTTTTTTTTTTTACAGACTCTCTCTTCCACCTTCAAAATCATGCACCATAATGGCAGATTCAACTGACCCAAATGCAAATAGGTATAACAATTTACTTGGATTATTCTTTGAATTTGAAGGACAGCAAAGTCAAGTGCACGTGACGAGGCAGTCATAACACAGGGGGAATGATATTACATGTGAAGATATTATCGTTTCAAGTGAACAGTGCGAGTAGAGTTGTGGTCCTAATTTATCTGTTCTTTCCTACGAGAAATGAAATCAACTGCGATTTCCTTTCAATTATTCCCAATTTCGATATTTTATTACATAAATACGAAAAATCTTTATTTATTTATTTGACAAAGATGCATGCAAATATTACAATATTGAAGCAGTTTGAGAAAAATTCAATTTTTGCACACTACTGAGCACATTTTATATGATGACAAACTATTATCGTCCTGGAAACATTTTTTTAAATGATTTCCAATAATCCCTTTCACCCTGTGTTACAAAGCAAAAGTTTGAGATAATATTCGCACTATAGAAACCAGTGTAAACATGATAATTTTGACCAATTTTTATTTCATTTCGTATCTCGATAAATCATACAATGACCTTTTTTTGTTTATTTTCACGTGGAAGTAATTTACAGTAATACTGCATAACATGGTATATTTCTCTTTCCAATAGGTTGATCAGTTGGGAGGTGTTTCTTCGGGACAATGCTCTCAGTGTGATCAGTACACGTCCCAACGCAACGGACACCCATTCCTTCTTGGTCACCGAGGACATGATGCACGATGTCCGTATGCAGGCGGGCAAAGAAGTGTGGAATAAAAAAGAATTCAGTTCACAACGAATGTCCACGTTCAAGTGGTGATCAGCTACACCCGATTGTTATGTATTCACTAACATTATACGTGGATTAAACCAATGACTGTATTACGGATAATTGTTTATAGTTTAAACCACCGTCCCTCAACACGGGACGGTGTTTAAACGTATGTTATTTACGTCTGACACATTTATCGCATTTGCACCACATATTTGCATATACTAGTCGCGCTTTTATCGCACTCGCATTGCGCACATATCGCATCGCACATTTCGCATAGACCGAGGATTCGACACCCGCCTACAAATTTATGGCGTTCTGCAGTTTTCATAATTTTAACCAGCTAAAACATCTATCTAGCGACCACAAATACCTTTTTTTGACCAAGAACAAGATGGCGGCGTATGTTTTGGGTTGACATTGGAAATTGACGATTTTATCGACCCTAGTGGGAAATCTTATGTAATTTTGCTTCCAGTTAAGGTATTTAGAATAGTTAGACGTATCGACCTGTTTATTTTTAACTGCAAAGCTGAATGCCTCTTAAATCGCCCAATACATTAGTGGTGGTGCGAGTTGGTTTGGTGCGAGTTGGCATTGGTGCGAGTTGGTCTGGTGCGAGTTGGTTTTGGTGCGAGCTGACCTGTGACCGCATCGCACTGGCTATCAAGCCCTATTTGGCCTCAATAAGCTTCAGTAATATTTGTTTATATGCACACTGCAGCTGGTGCAGATAGTACGAGCAGATATAGGACATACCACTTCAGAGCAGAACAATGAGTCTCGGTGCTCGTCTTTTTGCCGTACTATGTGTATTTTTTCTCACAATATATTGCTGGTTATTAACTCATCACATTCATCTGCAAAGCATTGAAGCTGTTATCCAAAGACGACTGCATGCTCACAAAAGTATATACAACAAGACAATGGATACTGTTTCATCTTTTACGCTCCCAACGGATGTTGACACGAACCGTACTTTCTATACCACAAAAACGGAGGCTCTGCCACCAGATGTTGACACAAACCTTACTGTATACATCAAGGCAAAGTTTGGAAATACATGCTATAAAGAAGAATCATTTTTTCACTGGTGGACAAACTACTATCTGACAGATGATTTGTTGGTAGAAAATAAGACAGGATGCAGAAGGTCAATTTCAAATGTTTATGTTGCGGGCACTAAAAAGTGTGCTACGACTTCGCTCAGAGATTTATTGGCAATTCACCCATACATAATGTATAGTCATACAACTGAAGGGGAAATTCATTTCTATGATAGACATTTTGATGAAGGTTATGAATGGTATCGGAGGCAATTTGACTTTTCTAAAGAATGGCAAGTAGTTATGGAACGAACTCCGCTGACATTCTCATTTCCTGAGGATGCTCCCAGAAAAATGGCTGAACTTAATCCTCAGACAAAGTTGGTGGTGATATTTTGCGATCCTGTGATCAGAGCAATATCAGACTATTTACATGAGAAAGAAACTGAATCATATAAGACGTTTAATCCCCCGTATTACAGGATCAATGACGAGTCTTTCGAACTATCAGTTTTCAAACCATCCGGCGCCGTTGACATTGACAATGAACTCATCAAGAAAGGAATATACTCGACACAGGTAAAACGGTGGCTCGAATATTTTCCTAGGACGCAAATCCACGTGCTTGATGGAAACGATTTTAATCAAGATCCTGTATCAGAAATAAATAAGATTGAAACATTTCTGGGACTGCCACATTTTCTGCGAAGAACACATTTGGATTTCAGCCAACAATTGTTCTGCATTGCTTTTCCCAAGGTTCGGTGCCCAAACAAAAAGCTGAAGGGCAGACCACATCCTGACATACCAGACAAGGTGCTACACAAGCTCTACGAGTTTTATCAACCGTATGACAGTGAACTTCAACATTTGTTGAATAGAACGTTTTCATGGATGGGGAAGAGTTCTACATAACTGGAAATGTAAATACTATACATTGTAAGATAGAAAGTTGAACTGGTAGATTTGTACACATATATTCTCTGACAAAATATTACCAGAAAAACTTCATATAAAGTTTTGTAAGAGAGTTTTGGGAGTACACAGGAAGGCATCGAATATTGCTTGTAGAGGTGAACTAGGTCGTTTCCCACTTGTGATTGATGTTTGTACTACTGTTATAAAATGTTATCAAAGGTTGTCATGTAAGAAAACAAACAACATAATTATCGAAGCTGCTTTTAAAGAAAGTAGTGGGTTTAAATACGATCCCTGGTATAAATTTGTCCAAAAACTTCTACAAATTACAAATATGACAAACACGGATACTAATCAGGCAAATTTTTGCAATCTCTTTAAAAAAAGTTAAACCAAATTTACTCAACAAATGTGGAAAGTCAGTTGAACAAAACTGGTCATAATAAACTAATTATATATTTGAAAAATACTTGGATGACATAAAAAACAAAAAAAACACAAAGTAGCATTAACTAAATTTCGTATTTCAGCCCACTTCTTGCCAATTGAAATAGGCCGTCACAGGGGAATAAATAAAATTGACAGGGTATGTAACAAATGTGACTCTAATGATGTGGGTGATGAAAAACATTACTTTTTTCATTGTGACAGTTTTTCAGAACACAGAAAAAAATTCCTCTATACATTGTTCAAATACTCATCTGACTATCAAACCTTACCAAATGGAGAATTGTTTAATGTTTTCTCTAGTGTAGACAAATATATTTGTAGTATTTTAGCTAATTTTGTTTTTCAGATTTTAAAATTATTTTAGATTAGTTGTGATACCGTATGTTTCTTATGTTGGACTTTACTCAAGCATTGTTTTTGTGTACGTTCCAAATAAAATATCCTATCCTATCCCTAGTACCAATTTTAACCTTGTCTTCCTGGGATGTTGATGGTATATATGCTCGTTTGTGTAACTGAAATATAAAACTGATAACTATTATACACACTACTGCAAGTTTTCCTCACGTGATATAAAATTACACTATGGTAGAACAAAAATGAGAATCCTGCCATCCGATCATGCAATTATGATGGTCTGTATTTAGTTTATATTTATTTGTTGACATCCCTACTCAGTGACCTTATCTGATGATTCACTGTGATCATGTCATTTTCAGACTTTTTACATGTAACTACAAATGTAATCATATACAAACCCGCTTTATTGCCAGATTAATGAACAATCTTTGGAATATTATGTGTCAAAGCATCATGTGCAATTAACATTGACAATGAATTAAGCAATAAACAAAAATATTAAAAAAATGTCAAAAATACAACAGATTGAACTTTCTGCTTAAATTATCTGACACCAGTAACATTGTTCTACATTGCTTTTTCAAAAAATCAATACCCAAATGAGAAGAGGCATCTTACAATATGGGGTTCTCACCAATTGTACAAGTTTTATCATCCGTATGACATTGAATTTCAGGATGTCTTGGATAGTAACTTTTCTGGACTGGAAAGAAATCTATCTATTTCAAGACTTCCAGCTTTATGTGCACATATATTACTGCATACTGCCGGTTACACTGGACTATGATTTATCATGACCTGAAAACACTTCTTGTAGCATACATCAGTGAGTTTGGTTGATTAAACAATGGAAGTCTCTATATGCATGTGCACTGGTTGTTTTGGTTAATATACGGTAATAACAAACACGTGCATAATTGTGTTTTCATCTTATGAATATTGCTGATAGTTCTGCAAATGCAACATTTTTAGTTTACGAAAAATCAAAGCCTGGTCTACAGACAGTAAAGAGCATCAAATGAAAATATTAAAAAACATATTTTGTCCAAATTGTATTATTAAATCAGCTTTCAAATCTGATAACTGGTTCTTGAGATATAAGTGGAATATGATCTGTGTATGGACAGAAACATACAATTATACAAAGAAACAAATATCCTATTGTAATCTTGTATCAAAGTTTATTTCAATTTCACCATTTGTTACAAACACTTCAAGAATCTTTAACCATGCCAGGGCTATGGGCCATATAATTCATATGAATATAATCAAAACATGCAGAACCCATTCAACAAATAAACAACAACTCCAGAAAAATGAAAGGCAGTATTAAGTCGAACAATAATATCAAGACTCGCTTGTGTTTGAATTTATAAATATTAGTGTTTATCTTGTAATTAATTCCTCAAGATAATTAGGATCTTTATGGAGAGTGGCCGACATAACTAAAAATATTCATCCTTGACAGTGTTAAGTCATTCAGACAATGTAGATTGAAGTTATAAATAGAATTGCTCAGATCACATATCCTCAAAACAGCCGTGGCTGTTGTATCACACTATACTGAATTGAGGGGCAGAATAAACTTGAGACATCCACCATGTCGTCTTTAATTTCTCATTTTAAGACTCATAATTTGATGATGAGCAAACTATATTTACTGAATTAATTAGTTTTCAGACATTCCAAAATAGTTACTATTGGTAACAAAATAGTACCGTATCACTTTGCTATCAGTAGAGTTTTTTGTGAGGGTTATGTCACCAATGGTTTTATGGTTGGCTTCAAAATTCCATATTTGTTACGTACACTACTCTCATGTAGGAGTTGGAGGTTCGCTACTCTGACCTTTGACCCCACAAATAAAGGAATACATTCCTGGTTTGAGCTTCTCAGCTCTCGCCAAGATAATCCTCCAGTCAGTGTTATCAGCCAAAGATAGATCATGTCGAGCTCTTTTAATCATTGATGATTTCACGCCGCATTTTCCTCTATTTCTGAAATAAAAGATAATTATTTAATTGGCTTTGTTGCCAGTCCATACTACAAGCAATTGGTTATTTTAAAATAAAGCAATTGGGGTAGTCATTTTTCAAAAAGTTGAAAATACCAAAAATGAGACTAAAATTAGAGATTTGAAGATATCTTTACGAAATACAAAATCTGAGAAAGGTCCACCCATATATATTAAGTACCAAAGCAAGCAGACATGCCGTTTTTGAAAAAAAATGTAAAGCTGACGATGATAGTTAATCAGTAATATGAACAGCTCTGTTCAAAAGCAAATGATTGCCAGTCACCTATTTTTGTTCGAATCTGTTGAAAAAATATATGATGTGCACAAATAACCCAAATAATGAGTATAAAACTTATGTGCAAACTTTCAACTGAATCAGGTGATAAATTAGTGATGAATCAGCCTTACATGAATAAAAACAAAATGACCACCAAATAGCCATTTTTGTTCCATTCTCAAAAAAAAATATGATGTGTACCTGAAATCTTTAGTTTATTTATCTCTTAGAAATGCAAATTATATCTCTTAGAAATGCAAATTCACAAATTTGATCAAATGGTACTTGTGTTAACATTTTCACCACCAGTTCCCTCTTTTCATCACAAATTCACAAAACAGTCCAGTTTATAGTCTGCACTTTCCTTCTGAATTTTGAGACTTTTTGTCAAATGGCTCCAAAATTATAAGAAAACAAGTCATTGTCAATGACACGTCCCCGTTCCGTTCATATTTGAGTGACATATACATTCAAAGCAGATCATGACCGAAATGCACCTGCATATGTACAACACATTGTGCTAAATCTGAACAAAATCCATCCATGCATGACTGAGATCCGGTTCTGGAATTGTGAAAATACGTGATTTTGATGCATTTTCGGCCTTAAAATGGCCAT